TAATAATCTCGTACTTTTCATTTAGTGAAAAAGCTTTGCGTTTTTGTTTTTCCATTCTAAAACGATTCACATACATAATGCGGCAAAAAACAAGTCACTGCCTGTCTCTCGCTCTCACTAATATAAACAACTCCGCAGGATTGGTGTTGCTGAGCGTGGAAGTTCGTTATAACCAGTAAAAAAATACGTTGGTCTTTATGGATGACGTTCCAATTAAAGGAAAAAAGTTCATTTTAACCGAAAGTTCACTATAACCGGGTTAATTATAAGCGGACTTTACTGTATTGAAAATTTTTTTTCCGAAAATTTATAGAAGATATTTACAGTTGAAGATCGAATTTCAACTTTGTTATTAAGCATTATTTTGAAATTGTTCCATGTTTAATTGGTAGCATATTGGAATATGTAAGCATTAAAAAAGAAAAATTACGAGTTTTGCTTCAAATTACGAAAATTTTTGATATAAAAAAGTACTCTTCTACAATTTTTTGATGAAAAGTCACATCGGCAATGATGTTTTTTGTCATTAACAGATTAGGTGGATTACAGGTGGATAGCCCTTGTCAATAATAACAATAATTTGTCAAACTGTGACTTACTTCACCCGAATCTTGTTGAATTTACCGTTTATCCTTGTCTATCTTATTGTCACTGTGTCTAATTCCTTGGTTACCGGAGTTTCAAATAATTACGGACCAACAGGTATTTGCGCAACGTTAATTAGGCAGATTACCATCAAAAACATTGCTGCCGTATTTCTGATATAGTTTTCTGCAAATTTCTCAGTTTTTAATAACAATTAATTTTTTTTGGCGAAATGACGCCAATTTTGAATCACCCTGTACACAGGATTATGCACAGGGTGTCCCACTCTTAGATATCCAGGAAATGTATCAATCTTGGTCCAAAGTTTGCATTTTCCATCTTCTGAAGCAGTTTTTGCGCCGATTTTACCACCGCTGGTAAACACAGCTGAATTTTCTCATTTCGCAGCGCCTAGAAATTCCCAGCGGAATTTCTGGATCCAATTTGCGCACCCGACTGAACAGGTGCGATCGGTTTCGGCCCCAATACAGCCCCTGCTGCGGTCGGCCGAATCCACACACCTGCGAAATCACCACTTTTCCCCAAATACTCAACACTATTCAAGTCTTTGGGAAGCTGAAAAAATTGCAGGAGCAACGTGAAATTAAATATTTCCACTGATCATGGGAGCTGGAAAAATGCACTAATTGCAGGCCAGGAAAAACGTATCGGCCGCTCTGGACATAAACAGCAGCTGTTCCTCAACAGGACGCCATATGGGCCTCATCTCGCAGGAAAGATGGAACAGCATGTAGGCGGGACATAAAAACGATACCGAACAGTGGTGGGAAATCCTAATTAGCTGCCATTTCCAGAGGATAAAGCTGAAGAGTGCAAGAATAACAACAGCCCATTTTTGTGCTTTATCCGAAGAGGATACAGGGTTGCACTCAAGAACTCCTTCGGCTCGAAAAGGATGGTTTTAGCCGGTTTTCAACATCGGCAGGCGAGTGGTTTCGGACCACTGTGCGCCAGCAGGAGCTCAGCTTGCCTTGTCTTGGACACCAGCTGCTAGCAATATGCTTTATGAAATAGTTGCGTCTTACAGTGTGTTAAATTCGCTGCTGCCAGCTTTTGCATTGCCCATTTGTCTGGATACGAGGACGCTGTTCGGAGAACAGCACTAAACACTTTGGAAGATCTGGATCTTTGTTGAGTTTCATGGGTTTTTGTGATGATGAAAAATGCTGGATTAAGTTGGAATGGCTTTGGCCTTCAGGACTAGTTTCGCCTTTGAAGATCAATCATTTAAGAGACTGTTATGAGGATGCAGGCGCAACTCTTGAAGGGAGTTGCAAAACCGTTGCACAAAAAAATGTGTATTTCCATTAACTCGGTTGTCTTTTCATTCAAAGAGCAAATCAGTCAATCGTGGTCAGATATCTCGACGCAACTTTCCTCTCAAAAAGTGTCTAATTTTGCAATTTTTATATAGAAAAAGTAAAGTTAAAAAAGTTGTGCCGAGCAAATATGTCTGGATGAAGTCGCAGATCCATATCTTTCAACAGAATTACTTGCATTGCCATGAAAATTCAATGTTAACCAAAGAACTATACAGCAGACAAATACACAATACAAAGAAAATTGACAAAATACACGAAACAAGCCTAAAAATTCAATTGAAAATCAATCATACGCATAAATTAACGCTATTCCTTCAATTTCACCAAAAATTTAACGCCCACAACCATCCATGGAGAAAAAGACCGAAACAGTCCATTCAAAAAGTGGCCAAAACTTGTCACATTCAAATTGAAAATGTAAATCAACAAATTCTAAATTTAATCTAATGAAGAACGCAAACTCAGAAATTAATTCGCCCAGTATGCTGCAGGAAACCCACAAAGAGCCCACCAATAATGCCGCATCTTTTCCATTAATTAACAAAATCCTGATGCTAATTGGGCAGTTTTCATTGCGTTCAGGCCGCAAAACCATCAAATTACGCAGTCGTTACGATTTCGGGACGCATCCGGACAAGCTGCATCACTCGGGGCCCCAAAAAAAGATGCAGCAGAACGTCATGCTGTCCCAATCGGCAATTATTGCCCACTAAAATGTGCGTCACGTTTTTCTAGCCTAAATCGTCCAAGCGGTGCTCTGATTTTTGCTTTATTGCATTAACGTGACCGGAATGCCGCCTCCCGATTGGCCAAGTCCATCAATTTGCCCATAAGGTTGCCTCTTTTAAATCCACTCAACTCTATCTGGACAGCGGAGCTGATATTAAGAAGAAAACGGAAAATTCCAATAAATATCCTACAAAATCTTTCAAAATGCCGATGGAATTCGCTCTGTTTGGAGATGTAGAAACTGATTAATTTCCACAGAAGAAACACGTCCAGATTGCCTTACGCAACGCATGGACGTATCTGGAGTATGTTTTATCCAAATTAAAAATAAGTGCACGCTGAGCAACTGACGATTGATGATCCACACTGTCTGCAAAGGAATTTCGCTCAAAATGTTTTGAAAAGAACGTTCTGCTTTTTCTCAGTTGAACTGAAAACACAAAACACGGCTCTTCTGGAAATCATCGGTACCGTTCGAAGCCATTCTTTTGGCCTCCTAATATCCCAGATTTGGGCCCTATGGAATTCTGACTTATTGGACTCACCTTTCTCATGTCGCGTCCGAGACACCCAAACCAGCCGAATGCGATCAAAACCGGAATAAACCTCGGCGAATTTTACGAAAATCTGGATTTTCGCGCGTCTTTTCCCAACTACGAAAAGTTGAAACGCGCAACTGCTTCCAACTCTGCTCCACAGGACGTCGCGACGACAACTGTGGAATATCAGCGTCGCGACGCCTGGCCGAGCTCTTTCATCAAGCAGGCGTCGCACGCACGCTACCGGCCCTTACGTTTTTCCAAAACAAACAAATAGAAGGTAATAGCCGGCATTCGCCGTTAATTACCAGTCAGATGCCCGCTTTAATTGCCACTAGTCGAATATCCCTCGTAGTTAGCTGGCTGACATTTAACGGTCATAACGATTTGAAATCGCCAGGAAAGCAGTTGGTTGCTGCGGTAACCGAGGCGCGCCAGCTCAAAGGGGCGCAATACCGGGGCAATGGGAAAAGTAAGGCGTTGCTATTGCGACATTTAAATCCGGCCAGTACCAAAAAAGGAGTCAAGCATGGAAATGGTTACACAGATAAAACAAATATGAATTTTACGTTTTTAATTGCAACTAGTTTTTTAGATGGCTGTTTAGCCACTCCATTAGTTATTAATTAGTTAAAGTTAAGTAAAAATTAAAAACAACCACTTACTATAAAAATGCAATACATGTGAAGAGTGAACAAAACAGCTCCAATTTTCATAAACAATCAAATTAATAAAAAATTGATCAAATACATACAGCAAACGATTGATTGGAGATCGAGTATTTAATTAGCATTCAAAAGTCGCCCCATGAACGGCGATGCTTGTTTATCTTTACCCGAGAAAGCAACTTTGCTTACAATAAATATCCAAAACAATTCAATCGCGGACTAGAGTTTTGTAGAAAATCGTCAATAAAAAAAACTGAAATCGAATAGCATAGCAATGAGTCACCCAAAGGGCCAGCCAGAAAACGATTATGTAAGCTCTGTAGCTCGGTGAGTTTTTTATGTGAAACACCTTAATTTTGCATGAGTTTTATCGGATAGTTCAGTCTATTCTGGGCAAGGGACTAAATCGGTCGTCGGTCTTTGTTCATGAATGAGATAAAAGTACCAATTTAGTGCCATTAAGGCACCAACAGTCGACCATCTTACCTGTTAATTAGTGTAATTAGTGTGCTGAGTGTAATCCACATTTATTTTCGACTTTGTGTGTATTTTCTTTGTGTGTGCTTTTGAATGTCTAATGATTTATAGACAATGGAGAATGGGGCCAGTTTGCAAAAAGCAGGTAAGAATGATTATCAATCTATAAACCCTTAACTTAAACTGAGTTGAGTTTTCCAGAAACATTTAAACTTTTATTCAGTTTTCTATTTATTTTCCTTTCCAATCAAATCACTGGGTTTGTGTATTAATATAGATTTTCATTTTTTTTTTCAGGGAGTACTGGTGCAGCTTTCGGTAAGTTTAACATTACTTTTACCGTGAATAGATAGTATGGCACGAAGTATTTTAAAGCGAAACAAGTCAGTTGACTTTCGAAAAATAACAACATTAGGACTCATAACTACAAATAAACAGCAAAGCAGATTACATATAATATATGATTAAGAAGACCAATTTTAAAGTTGATTAGCACCGTCGCTAAAGGTCGTCAAAAACCAACACATTTTCAGAAAAAATATCATTTGAAATGGACGTCAGTTCTTTAAATATTATAATTTTTAATTTAAATAAAGAAACGACTGTATTTAACAAGCACGTCAACTTCAGATGTTTTTGATCTTAACATTACCTTTATGTGGTTGGTTTTTACATTGTACTCTTCAAACATTGCCAAAAGCCGCACTGCATTTCGCATTAGTGATGAAAGTATCCAAATATTTTCAAATATCAGCTTTTCGTTAAAAGTGCGTTATTTACCATTTTAAGAAGAACTAGATAACAGATAAACACACAGTTGAAATTGAAAAACAAAACTTAATAAATACAGAAAAAGTGTCGAAAATCCAAGCAAACTGTGACAATGATTGACGCCAATTTTAAAATTGCAACAAAAACTCCTCCACCCACAACTATTCATCCAGAAAACGACCGAAACATGGTCAAAAGCGGCCACAACGTGGATTTTCTGTTCCATTTCGTCGAACTAATAATACAATGGAAAAACAGACCTCTTTGAAAACACCGCCTGCCGCCCCTAATACGGTATTATTCCAGAAAGATTTTCTTATTCCAGAAACTGGAGGCGGCAGCTGTTGCAGCAGCAGCTGCCGCCTCCAGCTAAATATTAAAACCGCATTTCTAACAGAAATTGAAAAATGCTTCCGAGCGGTTGAATTAAAACTACATTCCAGCAAGGACAGTTGTGAAGTTGCGTAAAATAAATTAGGCAACAAACGCGGGCGATTGTAAGAGAGAATTCGTTGTTTTTCCGGCGATAACCTTCTGCCCTCGACTACTACAAACATGAAAATGCCAGTGGTTATTGATTCTTGACGCAGCATGGCCGGTTTCAATCGCCAAATGCTTCAGAAGATCATCTTTATTGTTCTGGTGGTCCTCAGAAGCTCCAAAGCATGTCTGCCAGCTGGTAACGAAACAACACAAAGAAGCTGGAAGTCCTCCAATTGTCCAACAACGCCTTAGAGTCTCTTCCTGGAGGAGTTTTCAACTCCGTCCATCGCTTGAAGGCTTTGCACTTGGAAAGCAACCGGATTTCCTCCATTCCTGCAGACGCTTTTTGGGGGCTGCGCAAGCTTTCCATATTGGGTTTGACCAACAACAGTCTGACAACCGTAAATGTTTCCCAGTTTCGTGCCCTCCATCATCTGGAAAGACTAAACTTGGACTTTAACAAAATCAGCGCCATCTCTGGGAACTTCAACCTGACAAAGTTGGTTTCTATTAGGCTGAACGACAACAAGCTGACCAGTTTGTCTGATGAAATTTTTGCGAACTGCACCAACTTGAGGAAAATCGACCTTTACAACAACGATTTGGCCAATTTAACTGCAGCGCCTTTTCTCAAGCTGAAGAAGCTGAAGCGTGTTAACTTGACAAGCACTGGGGTAGACGCGGGAAATTTCTTGCCGTTTAAGTTAGCGGAAAATGTTGTTGTATTCGCGTAATTGAAAAACAGACTCTACTTTTATGTAATATATTATCACAGGCATGGTATCTTGTAACTATTTATAATGTTCCATATACATAACGATCTAACTGTTTCAAGAGGGCATAGTCGAACTAGTTGCGCACCCCCTGTAGCAAGTGTTCCAGGGCGAGGGCTTCCGACAACACCCGATCGCCCTGCAAACCGACAAAATACCAGGGTCGGTCATTAACTAGCTCTGAATTTCGCCCCAAAATGCCCTCTAAAAACCGCGTTCTGAGCTGATACTTCTACTACAAACTATTTATATTAATATATTCAAAATATACGCATAGTTAACAGCTATACAAAAAACCTGTCCTCTGTCCTCGGCCTGGGACAGTTGTCAAGGGCCTAGTTTACCAATGAGGAAAAGTCGAGTTTCATCAACCGGCTGGATGAAGGAAGTTCATCACTCCACCACACTAAGAGAGTAGAGACTAGTCCATGAAAAGCAACTTTCCGCGTAAAATAAGTGCTACTTACATCATTAATCTAAAAGACATATTATCGATCTTAGATTAGGTTAGTTCTGGCATCTACTTCCTAAAGCACGTTTACGCTACAGTGAAAGACAGCTTAATTCTAGGTAATTTTGCGTTGCTTAAGAGAGGCTCCTGTTGCTGGCTTCAATCAAAACTCGAATGCGCCACTTAGAAACTAATATTTGCAGGAATATGTGAGTCGGGTGGAACAGTGGGACTTTTTGGCAGGGAGATCAAAGAGTTTGGAGTTGACTGCAATATTAGTTAAATTATTGAATCAGCTACCTCTTGTGCATGCTGAAAGCAAGGGCGGATCAAGGGGGGGGTCATGGCCCATTCAATTCTCTATCCAACGATGCCAAAACGAATTCTGTAGCTCGAATGGTTCTTGAGAAACTTCGAATAAAGGCCATTTAGTTATCTTTGGAATGATGCAAAAACGAGCGTTCCTGCTCATTTTGCTTCCGAGAAACATGCAAAACGGGACGGAAAACATGAAATTTTGCAATAATCTTACGCCACCCAAAACGACGATAATTTTTCTAATTTCATAGACAACAGAAGTATTTTTGTATTTTTTCTACATAACCCCCCCCCTGAATTTAAAGCTGGATCCGCCCCTGGCTGAAATACCATTTTTCCATACAGGAACAATTTAAAATATCACAAGCGACAGTGGAGACGTAACTTTGTACTCTCGTTCGCCAATTCATTGCCCAAAAAAAACAGTTAAAAACGATCCAGACACGCGTCCAAACATCAACAACCTGCCCTTAAGTTACCAGCGGATAGTCGCGTGTCTTTTACCGCGAAAAACCCAAAAAATCGATCAATCGGTCGTCCCAATTGATCCCGTTGAACCACCGGCGTCTAACCGGTGGTCGTTCGTCGTTTTTTGGACTGGTGCCATTTTCTTTCGTATCCAGATATTCTTCGCCGCGGATGCAGAAGTAGCTCTTGATCGGCCCACGGCACATTGGACACCTTTCCAGCTTGTTGAAGCAACTTGCGCAGATGCAAGTGTGTCTGCAAACAAAACAAAAATCAACATTTTCCACAACGTGGTTTTGTCCCTGCGTTTGGCTCCCCCTGTATTAATTCTTGAACATAAAGCCTATCAAATAGTAACGTTCGAGGTCTAAGTGAAACTCTCCAGCTCAATAGAGCAGAGCTTTCTCTAGCAAATGGCACCAACCGTAACTGCATACAGACATTAGTCTTGTGTTCAAGCTTTGAAACTGCATAGAAACCTATCATCAAAGCTTTATAGAGCTATATTTTTTGTATGTAAAGAGAGAAAAAAACACATTCATAACTAAACAAACAAAATACGGGGCCAAATGGAAAAGTTACTCATCAAAATCAAGTACCTGCAAGGTAAAAGGGCTCTGGATAGGGGGTAGGTCTGGCACACCACGCACAGTTGCTCGCCCGAGCTGTTCCAAAACGTCGAATCCTCCTGGTTGGAGCAGAAAGAGCCCACTGAACTTGGACCGCCTTCCACGGGCTCAGCCACTGCCAGTGGAATTTGAGTCTCGTAGTTTCCGGAGTTTCCAGTGGCCAGATAGAGTTGCTGCAACAAAAACCCGATGTGTTATTGCAACACGAATTAGTTCGCCCATAAAAGCCCACCTTGAGGCAAGACAATTGCCCATTGGCCTGCTTCAGGTACTGCCCAAGAATGCTGGTGGGCAGAGTGCAGACTGTGTCCTTGATGTGCACCACGTTAATCAGAGCAACCTAAAGACGCAATTACTGCAATTTATTCTAGTTTATCAAAAGAGATAGACCTTCGAGGCAATTCCTTGAAACTAATGGGTTTTT